TTTATAGCACCATTATTTATGATAGCTGGAATGTAGAAACAATCCAAATGTCCATCAACTGATCACTGGATAAACAAAATATAGTACATCCATACAGTGGAATATTGTTCAGCCATAAAAAGGACTGAGGTACTGGTAAGTGCTATATTGTAAATGAACCTTGAAAACATTACGCTAAGTGAAAACATTATGCTAAGCCAAATGTGAAAGACCGTATGAAAGGGGTCTTCAAAAAGTTCATGAAAAGATTTGTTATCTTCTAATTCCATTTTTCTATAAACTTTTTGAATTCCCCTCCTATTGTATGATTCCACTTATATGAAATGCCCAGAATAGGCAAATCCATAGAAAGGATGTAGATCAATGGCTTTCTGGGGCCCGGCGGGTGGGTAGGTGGAAGGAAACTGGAGTGACTACTAATGGGTATGAAGTTTTTTGGGGAGTGATGAAAATATTCTAAAATTGACTGTGTTGATGGTCACATAAGTCTGTACGTACATATGCTAAAAACCACTGAATTGTACACTTTAAATGAGTGAATTTTATGGTTTGTGAATTGTATCTCAATAAAGCTGTTAATTAAAAACAAAACAAAACAAACAAAAAAAGCAGTAGTTCCTAACATTGTTGGGTTAAGATTCCCGGGAGAACTTGCTGAAAGCAATGGACATTCTCCCGTCCCTACTCCCATCCCCACCAGCCTCAGGAATGAGAAATCCATGCATTTGTATATATAAAAGTTTCATTAAAAACACCCTTGGAGATTCCCACACTGATTGAAGTCCATTTACTGACTCTCTGGAGGTCTAAAAGCCCCAGGAGAAGCCTGTCTTGATGAAACCATCAGTAGTAAATGTTAGGTCAGGTGCACATCTAAAGCATTTCTTTCCATCCACGTTTTCCTTATCTTGTCCTTTAACCACCTTGTCATAGCCCCTCCTTGCCCCCACCCTTCCTTCTCAAGCTATTTTGACATCCTTTCTTGATCAGTGTGGTAGGCAGGTTTTGTGATGGTCCCCATGACGTTCACCCCCCTGGTATTACTCCCAGGTTATATGGCAAATGGGAGATCATCTGCTTGGGTCTAATCTAATCACATGAGCCCTTTAAAAGCAAGGAGTTTCTCTGGCTGGTGGAAGAGTTTCTCTGACCCTTGCGAGAGGGTCAGATTCAAAGCCTGACAAGGACTCCATGCAATGTTGCTGGCTTTGAGGATGGAGGGGCCATGTGGTGAGGAATGCAGTCAGTCCTAAGAGCAAAGAGTGCCCCTGGCTGACAGCCAGCAAGGAAATGGGGACCTCAGACCTATAGCTGCAGGAACTGGATTATGTCAACAATCTGAACGAACCTGTTAAGTGGATTCTTCCCCAGAGCCTCCAGATGAGAGCCCAGCCAGCCAACACCTTAATTTCAGCCTTGTGAGCCCCCTAGTAGGAACTCACTCCAGCCCACATGGACTTCTGACCTAATACTAGGAGATAACAAGTGGGTGTTGGTTTAGGACTCCAAGTTTTTGGTCATTTGTTAAGGCAGATCAGAAAATGAATACAATCAGTTATGCATAGCTATGCAGCTGGCTGACATTTGGTTGGCTGTTTCTAGATCCAGCTCTTATCCTCATAAAATTCCTAAAATAGTTATTTGTCCTCCCTCCCTCCTGCCCTCTCCCCACCGCCCCAGGGCGTCACACTCTGGATGCCTCGAGCCTAGCTGTTATCATTCCTGACTCCATGGTCTACACTGGGAAACTTCTTCCATCCAGATTCGAAAGTTCAAGCTAAGGGGACCCTCAGGACATTGCAGATGAGGAAGCTGAGGTGAAGGCTACACTGTACTAGTGCCACGGCTCTCAGTGGGATCTTATATCCCTACAGAAGAGAAGCTGCTTGGGGCAGGGGTCCCATGGGACTCACTTGGCCTTAGCACCCTGCTATGCACATAGGAGACTTCCAGGAAATATTGCTGAGACTGAAAGTCCCAGAGCAGAGGAGCTCACTGAGGTGCCTGAGTGATCAAACCTAAGATGGTTTAAAATGAGAAGTGGAAGGAAGGTTCTGGAGCCCCTCCAGCTGTCCATAAAATGTGGGACCCCAGCCTGGAGCCTGGGAAAAGGGCTTTGAGGGTAAAATCAAATGAGAAAGGGGTCTGATCCCAAGTGCTAATAGCCAATCCCACAGAAGTAGAGACTCTTCAGCTACCCCAGAGAGGCCAAGATAACCTTGAAGAGCTTTCAACTCTTGGTTCTAATCCCATCCTCACCAGTAGGTTTTGGGCACCAACTGCTGTTTGGGGGCTGTGTGTATGGCATGGCTTATGTGACAGACAACGCAGGGATGTCTGTCTACCTGTCTGCTTGCAGGCTGGGCTCTTACACACCTGAAGCCCTACTCCTTCCTTCCTTCTTTCCCCTGCTTCTTTCCATTAGGAAGAGCTCACAGGTTTGGGTGGGGATGAGGGTGCTTCGGCACTACCCCCGAGGGCTTCCCTCCTCTTCCCTTTCTTTACACGTAAAACACCCAGAGCCCTGCGTCCTGCCTTTGCTGGTGAGAACCATTCATTTCTGGAACCAATCAGTTACTTTTGTTCTAATGAGCTAGTGTCTTTTCTTGCTGGGAAAACTCCAGTCAGACCCTTAACTTTATCTTCTTGTTCTTGGAACATGAACTCATGCAACAGGGAATCCAAATCTCTTTTGATAGGGCATGCTCGGGCTGCTTCGTGCGGGTCCAGGGCTGGGGGTAGCCATGCTGAGGGACTGAGAGGGGCTGAGGTGGGGTGTGGGGGAGGAGTGAGGGCCTGTCTGTGACCGCTGCCCTTGCCCCCTACTGTCACTCAGGCTTCTGAGAATCCAGTACCTTCTGGTTCTGCTCTCCCCCTCTCTGTGGGCTTGGGAATGAGTTTGTGGATTTGTGGCTTCCCTTGTACTCCAGAAATCTGCCTAGATCCACAGAATTTCTTCTGCCCCAGGGCTGGGCTTCTTTTTTAAAATGAAAAATGCAGCACTATCAGAGTGAGTTATACACACGGGTGTACCATGTGTGTGTTAAGATGTGTGTGATCACGGGAATTGTAAGTGTGACCCTTCATGATTCCTCATTTCAGTCAAGCTGCCAGGCGGTGGAGCTGGAGGGTGGAGCTGGAGGGTGGAGCTGGAGGAAGGGCGGCAGAGAGGCACCCTCTGGCTTCTGGCACAGGGCCTTGGGGTGGGGCTGAGGAGGCCTCCCCCCGCCAGGAAGTGTGCTCAGGCCTAACAGGCGGGGCTTCTCAAACGCCACCTCATAGAGATGGCCGAAGACTTGGGGTGGGGTGCGGGGTTGAGGGAACTGTCTGTCCTTTACCCTTTCCTGCCTCCCAGGACCCTGCTCAGGAGGCTCCTCGGCATGGGGAAGCCATTCGGAGGCACATCCTTCATCCACAAGCCTGTTCCTGGAGGGCCCTGACTTATCCATTCCCCTCCAAGCACCACCCTAGAACACACCCATCCTGGGCCTGTGAGATGACCTCTGCCCTCTGACCCCTCCCAGAGACAGGGCCAGGGCCAGCCACTCTACTGCAGCCTCCCAGAGTCCATGCCCATCCTCTCAAGGAAGCCAAACCTCCGTTTCCTTGCCTGTAAAGTGGGGATGATGGTAACGTGGAGGCTTTGCTGTGTGTTGGCTTGACCAGGCTCGGCTACGTTCCCCAATTCCTTTTCCTGGGTGTTTCCTACTAGACAGGTCACAGAGCTTCCCGAGGGAGGTCTGGAGGGGAAGGGCAGCGGCAGCCATCCCGTAGCTCACACACACGTGCAATTTAGTTTTTGAACCTAAGTTCGAGGCTTTACGTTTACCTCTGTTCAGCTCAGCTGTGCTGGTTTCTGTCCATCATCCCAGCCTGCTAAGATGCTCCTGAGCCTCCAGGCTGTCATGTTGCACACACCTGCTGGCTCTTCCTTCATCAGCACTGCTGACATCTTATGGCATGTTTTTGGGTGCACAGAGGGGAGGGGAGGTTAGCACCCCTGGAATTCTGACTTGGTGTATTAGTCCATTTCTGTTGCTTATAACAAAATACCTGGAACTGGATGATTTCTAAGAAAATGACATTTATTGCTTTTGGAATTTACTGAGTTTCAGAGGCTGGGAAGCCCACAGTCTAGGAAACACAACTGGTGAGGTGACTGTACAGTAATTCAGGGTGTCACATGGTGAGACTGGCGGAGCAGAGAGAGATGGAGTGCTCCTCATGCACTCTCCTTTTAAAGCCCTCAGAACCACACCCTTGACCACCATTATTGATCCATTCACTAGGCGTGGTCCTCAATCAGAATCTAATCACCTCTTCAAGGCCCCACCTTTTCAATTACCATAATAGGATTTACTACCCTCAACAGTTACAGTGGGGATTAAGCTTCAGTGACTTAAAACTTGGGGGACAAAATTCAATCTGTATCACTTGGGAAGCTGCCTTCATAGTTTCTAACGAGTCTTTGCATCCCAATTAGAAACACCAACTTAAAAAAAAAAATATATAAAGATGACCGGTAAGGGGATCTTAACCCTTGACTTGGTGTTGTCAGCACCACGCTCACCAGTGAGCTAACCGGCCATCCCTATATGGGATCCGAACCCGTGGCCTTGGTGTTCTCAGCACCACACTCTCCTGAGTGAGCCACGGGCCGGCCCCTAAAAATATACTTTTTTGAAGAGGTAGAAGAGAGAAGGGTCCTACGTATTCCCCCTGCTGGCCTGTTGCCCACCTGAACACCCCCTGTGTGTAAGTCTGAAGCCTGGGAGACGCCAGACCTAAGGTGTGGGGTCTGGTTCCTGGGCAGCCTAAGGGACCAGCTTTGACAGGGAGTGCTTTTGGGGGTCCTCCTCTCATTGACTTTCTTCCCCATGAATAAAATGCCAAAAAGAGAGAGAATGTAAGAACAAACTTATTATAAAGTTTAATGTTTTCAGGGCTGGGCTGGACTGGGGCCTGAAGGGGAAACAGCAAGGTGATCGCCAGCAGAGAGGCGCCGGGGTCTTCTGCAGGCTGGGCTGGGCTGACTGGACTGCAAGTTCACCAGGAACTTACTCTCTCCCAATCTCTGTCCCAGAACACTCTGGAAACATGTGGCTTCCTTAAACTCGGATTTGCTGTTGTTCCTTCTTCTTCACCTCTGCCCAGATGTCCGACAGGTCTTGAATAAACTGCTGGATCTAACAAGGCAAAGGGACCAGAGATAACCCCATCCAGCCAGAGGCCTCCCCCAAGCCCAGACAGAGCATCTCCTGGCATTAACCTGCGAGGAGTTCATCACTTTCCTGTGACTGACTGCTTGAGGGGGATGCTTTCCCTCTTTGACAAATTTTCTAGGTGAAATTGAGTATCAGGTTTAGCAGATTAGAAGCAATAAGTAGGAACGGAGTTGGGAACTCCTGGAGGCAGACATAGTGTCACCGGCAGGCTGACAGAAGGCAGAAGAGAGAAAGGATCACAAACAGACCATGCAACCAAAAGCATGTAGCAGGCAGGGCCCCTCGGTGTAGGGGCAGACAGCCCTCCACACTTCACAGCCCTCGAGGTGGTCATGTACTTGAAACTCAGAGCTGATGCTCCTATAATCTTGAGCCATCAAGAGAAGCTTAAATTCTATCCACCAGCTTCTGTTTTAAAGACATGTAATCACTGTGATGCAGAGGGAAGACCCAGCTCCTGACACAGCTCTGGGGAAATCACTTCATCTTTCTGGAACTCAGTTTCCTCAACTTTAAAAAGGGAAGAGAGAGAGAAGGTTGGCCCCCCTGGCCTCTCAGAAAACTTCTCCTTCTCAAGACTGTCTCTGGAGATGGGACCACACAGTCCATCAGAGACAGTCCAATGCTCTTGACAACCCTGTTAGCTACTGATACTATTACCGATATAATTCCTATTTTGCAAAAGAGGAAACAAAGAGTCAATGAATTAAAGCAACTTTCTCAAGATTACAGAAAAGACAAATCGAGCATTTCCCAAAATATTTTCTTGTAATAAGCACTCGTATGTCCCCAAAATACAGCATATATTGAGTTCGAATTGTCTTGGTAATTTGCAGAATCCCTTTTCCTAAGCTGTACTGTGTACCATGATCCTAGTTCTATGTAAGCAGCTGCCTTACGAAACCAGTCCTTGCATCTGTTGTAGAGATGTTTCTGAGACTGTTATTCATTGAGTGTCTCAGAAGACTCATTGAGAAATTTCACTTAGAACTAAGTGCGCAGAAAAGATATGAATTTCAGATTTTTTTTTAAGTAGAGAAAGTGCCTCTCAGTTACTTGCTTTTTTTTTGTCTTATGTTTCATATTCATTCACCAAATACTTATTGAGTGCCTACTGTGTGCCAGGCATTGTTTTAGGCACTAGGGGATACAGCAGGGAACAAAACATACAGGAAGCCCAGACTTCAGGAGCTTACTTTCCAGTGTTTCAGAGCAGAGCTAAAAGGCTTGTGCAAAGGAACAAGTAATTATTTAGTCGTGGTTCTCTGCATGTCAGAAGAGGCACTGCGAGTGCATCTGCTGGTGCGGGGTTTCCCTAGGTGTGGGATGGGTGTACTTCGGTCATAAGTGAATTGATTTTAGGTGGCACATGAACATGGATGGCATTAAACAACTTTGAACACACAGTGAAAAAGTTTCCTTTCACTTCCTTTCAGTTACTTCAAAGAATGTCTGAGATTGGTACTAATATAACTTTAACACATCTCTAAACTTGCCAATTTCTCTTTTTAACAGAGTGGGCCTCAAGCACAAGCCTTTTAGCAAGCCGCAGTATCTCACTAGAATTTAAAAGACTGTTTTGCCAACTAATGAATTCAATAGTGGGTCCCTGCTACTGCCATGTGGATTGGGGCCAAGGGTGTTAGAGCTAATGTAGTGGTTCTCAAAGTGTGGAACCCCAACCAGCAGCATCACCTGGGCACTTGCCGAAAATGCTAATTCACAGGTTCTCATCTCTGACCTACCGACTCAGAGACTCTGGGGGTGGGGCCCAGTAACACTCCCCACCCTGCAGGTGATTCTGATACTCTTAGAATTTGAGAGCCACTGCTCTGGTTCATTCCTCCACTCAATCACTCGGGAACCTCCTTGGCCCAGCCGACCCAACCTGCCCCAGCGCCTGCTCTTCCTCCTACCATGTCCAGCTGTTTGTGCGTGTCCTCCAGTGACACGTTGGTCACCTCTTTTAGCTGCTTGCTCACGATCTGGAAGAGGTTCAGTGTTGCCATCTTAATGGTGCCAAGCAGGAGGGTCTTCTTGGCGGCGGTGTTCTGGATGTGTGCCCAGCGAGATTCCTAGGGAGGGGATGAGCTGGTGTGTGTGTGTGTGTGCATGTGTGTGCACATGCATGGCCCTCACTCACTCATCGCCCAGGAATCCCCTGTCCTGCCCTGGGACCCTCACCCAGATGATGACATCACTGCGGGCACGGTCGAAGCGCATCTGCAGCCGCGCCAGCTCGTTGTTGTGCTGCAGGATCTCATCATCCTTCTCTTCCATGTAGTGTGCCAGCCGCGCCTTGGCATGCTCGATCTTCTCCTGGCCCTCTTGTGCAGACTGCATGAGGTCGTGGTGCATGCTCACCAGCGTCTTGTAGCGTGCAATCACCTCGTGGATCTCCTCGAACTGCAGCCGGGGGCTCAGATCACTGCAGTGCCAAGCCCCAGGGGACTCGATGCAGCTTCCCTGGTCCACCAACCCCCGGCCTGGACACCTGGATACCTGGACACCTGGACATCTGAACATGGGGGGCAGGCAGGCTCAGGGCTAGGGTCAAAAGCAGGGGCTATGAGGACGTTGGGGTCCTGCTGCCTGGTTCTCCTGGGATAGTATGAGCCAAGGTCCACGTGTTGCGGGGGCCGAGGAGGGGGGATGCACATCTGGACCAGGGGTTCTTGATTTTAGCTGCACATTAGTTAGAATCACTTGGGGAGCTTTAAAAAGGACATCTGCCAGGCCCCACCTCCAGAGATTTGGATTAATAAGCAGGTCTGAGGTGGACCCTGGCATCTGAATTTTACAAAAGATCTCCTGGTGATTCTAGGCTCTCCCAGGGTTGAGAATTGCTGGTGGGGGGGCATTTTGAGATGTTTTCCAGGGCAGTCATTTTCCTGTTCAACAAGAATATACCAAGAATTGTTTACAAGCCAGGAGCTGTGCTAAATGCTAGGGGCATAGCAAGAGATAAGAAAGCCAGACACTGCTCTGATGAAGCTTACAGCCGGGGGCGGGGTGTGAGGAAGGAGGACTACAGATGAGTAAACAGTCAGTTACAACACCAAGTGATAAGCCCTATCTATGACTGGGGGATAGGGCTGGATGGAGACTGTGGGGCAATACCGTCATGCATGGCACTCTCTGGTATTTTGTTCAACATTTGCTGAGGGAAAAGTGGGGGCTGGGGAGGGTACCAGTGTGGCAGGTGGCCTGCCAGGCTCAGCTTGCCTACCCCAGTATGGTCCGCAACCAGGCCACTCCAGCCTTAACCCTCAGGCCCACTGAGCAGAACAGGAGCCCTGTAACCCCCCATCTTTAGAAGGCTGCATGAGCACCAGCCAGTGATGCCAACTCGCTTCCCCAGGGCCTTATCAAAGTGTGCCTTCCAGCCACCCAGGGGACACACCCTGAGTGCTTTCTTCACCCCATGACATTTCCAGTAACAGGTTGGTGTCCTGTGAACTGCCTTGCTGGCTTTTCCCCGAATATGCCTCTTTAGGGGAAGGGCCACCCAATCCAACATTGGTGGAGGTGGGAACAACCAGAAAAGGTCTCCTGGGAGAAAGGATGACTGAAATGAGACTGGAGGTTTGAAAAGAAGATAGCCAAGCAAAAGCAGGTGGGGGCAGGTGAGGCATTGTTTCAGGCAGATGGCACAGCCTGGGTAAGGACGAATGGGGGCGGGGAGGTGGCATGTTCAGGATGCTCAAGGTAGTATGAGTGGCCTGTGTTCAAGATGGGGAGGGAGATATTGACCTGAGGAAGAAGGAAAAGAAAGTGCCCAGTAAACCCTGGGAAGGAGTGTGGACTTTATCAACTGATGGATTTTTAAAAAGTAGAGAGAGAATACATGTCTGCATTTCTGAAAGTTCACCAGGCACACAACACAAGAGCATACAGCAGTTAAAATGAATGGACTACATCAGAGCCACAGGAACTCATCTCTAAAACTTAATGCTGTTGTCAAAAGGACTCAAGTGTCAACTTGAAGAGGCTCCCACTGCCCAAAGATGGGAGAATTTGAATATCAGAAACAATAAGCACAAAGGATTGGAACATATCAAATATGTCAAAAATCCATGAGTTCATAATGATACTAAAAACATTACAGGTCATGTGGGGGGAGGGTGCTGGAGAACCAATTCATTATATTGAAAACTATAAAAAAAGAATCAAGCTTTTTCTTTAAGATCCACATAGTAATGAAATAGATGATAAAAGAAAGATTCCCTTCATGAAGTCCTTTTCTTTATGGTAGTATTCTAGCTAGTAAATGAAGGATGTCAGAAAATTTCTGCCCTTCTCAGTCAGTATCTGTCCCCCACCTGTCCCGAGGAAACCAGTATTCTGACTTCTATCACCAAAGATTAATTTTACCTGATCTTAAACATACAGTATATCCTCTTTTGTGTCTGGCTTCTTTTGCTCAGCACAATGTGACATTTAAGAAACGTATCCACCAGAGGCAGTGTGAGGGGCCTTGCTTGGACCCTGGTTGGAACAAACCAACTGTACAAAAAGCCTTTGTGCAATAATTGATATTGATATTATGAAATTACTATCAAATTTTTACTAGGTGTGACAATGGCATTGTGGTTGTGTTGAAAAGGGCTCTCATCTTTTAGAAAAACGTATTGAAATACTTATGGGTGAAACTATGTAATTTGCTTCACAATGGTGGAGGTAGGAAAGTGTGGGGGATGGGACGGTGAGTTGATAGTTGCTGGAATTAGGTGAGGAGTAATGGGTGTTCAATAGACTGTTCTCTTAACTGTTGTGTATGTTTGAAATTTTCCATAATACAGAAGTTCTTAAAAAGTCAATGATTGGAAAAAGCAAGTAATAGAAGGATTGTACAATACTAGTCATCGTTTATGCAATATGTTACAAAACAATAAAAATGAGCATGAAAATGAGAAATTTAAAAATCAGGATACTGGTGACCTCTGAGGAGAGGGGAGGGAGACAGCTTTGGAGGGACACATAAGGGGTTTCAACTACTGGGAGTGTTTTATCTAAGAAAAAAGAATCCAGGACAAATAGAGGAAAAGATCACTACTTGACAAAGCTGACTGGTGAGTGCTTGGGTGCTGTTATGTGTTTCTCTATACTTTCCAGTATGCTTAAAATATTTTGAACAAAATAAAGGAAGAAAGAAAGGGAGAAAGAAAGGCCATGCTGGCTGTAGAAGGCTAAACGGACTGTCTGGGGACGACGCGGCGTTAAACTGCAGATGAGGTACACTGGCGGTCTGGACAAGGCAGGGGCAGGGGCTGGATTCCAGAAATACTTAGGAGGCAGAATAGACCAGATCTCCTGATTGATGGCTGTGGATTGAGCAAGAGGGAGGAGTCAGGGATGAGGCCCACATTCTGGCAGGGCTGTGGGTGGGTGGCTGTGCCCTTCTCCAGCACAGGGCACATCAGAGGCAGGACTGGCCTGGAGGTGGCAGGAAGCAGATGGGATGAGTTAGATGTAGAGTCTGAAGCTTAGGACGGAGATACAGGCCAATTTCCTCAGTTCTAAGATACCCATTTTACCAGCTCTAAATTTGAGAAATATCTTATAATTTACCTGCTGTTTTAATATGGTGGTCTTCCCTCCCCCCAGCCCTCCCCAAAGCCTATCATTAAATGAACAACTTATCTTAAAGTAGGTAGTACCTTAGAAGGGAGGAAATAACACAGATTTGGGACTCAAGCATAAATAATTCTCACGTGCATGCACATACACATGTGTGCCTTTAGACAGACACAGCCACAGACAAACATGTAGAACAGACACACAACATATGCAGACACATTTACACAGTTGTCACTTACACAGACACACAGATACACCAGCAGGTCTTCACCCCTCCAGCCTCACTGGAGGCCTTTTCTAGCTGCTTTCCAGGGCTGGCCACATCTCCTCAGAGCAGGGTGACTGTCCCTGCAGAGCCCCAGGGGCCCAGGTCCTGGGGAAGAGGAGGTGGGGCTGAGGAAAGCTCACCTCGGAGTTCTCCACCACCTTCTCCAGGTACTTGTTGAAGATGGAGTAATCCTGCAGCTTGGCGCTCAGCCGCTGGTGCTCCAGTCGCAGGGTCGCCATGTCCTGCTTGGCCTTGGCCAGCTCCCGCATGCGCTGCCTCTTGAGTTCTCGCTCCTTGTTGGCTTTCTTCAGGGCGCGGATCCGTTTCTGGTCATTCTCCTGGGGCCGGGGGAGGGGGTGCTGGGCAGGCAGCCTCAACCTGCCCTCCCTGGGTCCAGGCCTACCTGGGGCCATGGAGCTCCAGCCCCTTTCTGTCTGCTGAGCTCAGACCACCCTAGGGATGCACAGAGATTACTGGGCTGCCCATGTGGGAGACAAGGTGCAAAGGAAAAGGATCTCCGGGGTTATTTGAAGCTAGTTGAGGGGATTTCTGTGGACAGAGGTAGGGCTCAGGGTGCTATGAGAACAGAGGTTTAGTTTAAAATCAAGAGGTGGCCTTGGAAGGAACAGACAGGAAATGATTCTGATTCCATGGGATTTGGGTTCTGGACTTCAGAGAGTGGACGGGGAGAACCCAGGAGAAAAAAGGGTCGGGGAAGACCCATATTGTACTGGGCTTAGTGTCTGGACAGAACTCAGCCCCAAGGAAAGCTGAGAAAGTGGGAGCAGGGGCCCTTCTGACAAAGCTTCTGTTGTTTCTAAGGGGTGGCCATCTGTCCTAGGGCAGATTCCTGGGCCAGAGCTGGGAGTTCCGAATTTCCTCCTGACTTGGTCCTTGGTGCATCTATTATCCAGCTGTAGAAATGTGAGGCAGTTGCCCCTCTCTCCCTTCCAGAAGCTGGGGCAATAGTGCTTGAACTAGAGGGAGATGAGACAGGAGATGTGCCTGGTCCAGAGGGCTGGAGGGGTAAGGCTGTTCCAGAGAGCATGTTCTTAGGAGCTCAGACTGGCTTCCACTGGGGCTGGAGGAGGTGGTGCAGGCAGTTTAATGCCCAGAAAAACAGAACCAGGCTTGGCTACTGCACTTGGTCCGACCTTGCTGCCTTCCTCCTTCTGCAAAGCCCTCTCCCAAGGTTAGGGACAAACCCAGCACTCTCACTGCACTCATGTGGCTCCTTTCTCCCTTCAGGGGCCCGGTGATTGCCTGAGGATGGGTGTGTGTGGGTGGTGGCATGTGGAGGACATGGAGGAAGGCGTGCAGAAGGTTTGTGCTCAGCCCTCTAAGCTGAGGACTGAAGGACCCTAAGCCAGTGGCTTGTAAATCTACTTGTGTATCAGAACTGCCTGGGGAGCTTTTAAAAATTATAGATGCCTGGGCCCAAACTCTGGAGGAAGGCGTGCAGAAGGTTTGTGCTCAGCCCTCTAAGCTGAGGACTGAAGGACCCTAAACCAGTGGCTTGTAAATCTACCTGTGTATCAGAACTGCCTGGGGAGCTTTTAAAAATTATAGATGCCTGGGCCCAAACTCAGATCTGCTGAAAGCCAGGAGAGAGGAGGATGTCCCCAGGGTTTGTATTTGCAACAAGCTCTCCAGGTTTCCAAAGCTGCTGACCCTCTGCTAGCCATTTGGAGGACCTCTCACCCACAAATCTCCTGCTGCCGCAACCACTCCATGAGATTTTCTGTGGCCGGTAAGAAGGACTGGACCTCTGGAGAATGTGCCCAACTCACAGACTTCCCTTCCCACACGGTTTAGGCTCAGAATGTGGTGGGAGATGCTTAAAAGCAGGGCTCCTCTGAGCAGAGGCCAGCTATTAGCCTCCTGGAACTGGGCCAAGCCCTTCAGGGATCCATAAGTGTTGGCTGAAGTGGGTCTAGATAAACCCAGATTTTAAGATAATTAAAATTCTCCTTTCGTGACCAGTTGAGAGGGGTTGTCCCAGAATGGACTCTGGTGCCTGGTCTTTCAACCATCCCCTGCGTGGACCTTCAGTGCAAGGACAAGGACAAAGGGGTAAGTTGGATGGGGGGCACTAAAACCCTGTCTCATTCATGGTCGTATCCCCAAGTGCTTAGCTCTGACCATGGCACATTCACTCATTCATTCATCCATCCACCATCTACTCATTCATTCACTGGATAAACTGTATGTCCCAGGTACTGGTAAGGAAATAGGAAACTGAAGGGGGGAAATAGGAAACTAATCTAAAGGGGGCAGAGACTGACAGGTAAACAGGAAATTATAAACACAGTGATAGGAGGGGGACATAAAGGATGCCTGGAGAAGGCACCAGGCATTGTTGGAGCACCGAGGATGCTCTTAACCCGGGATGAGGAGTCAGGCTAAGTGAGGAGGGGGAGGAACAATTTGCCTGACCGCAGAGTGTGGATCCCACAGCCTGCTGCAGCAGCTCACACCCCTTCAAACCTGGATGAATTGCTCAAACTTCTGGATGTGGGCCTTCAGCTGGGCTTCCTTGATGCCCAGTTCCTCCCAGCGCAGGTTCAGGGTTTCCATTTTACGCTGAAATGTCTTTGGGGGTGGAGGAGCAGAGAGATCAGGAGGCCCCTGACATGAATACTGAGGAAGACTCGGGCATCCCCTGCCCCACAGTCTCTATCCCCAGGCCCAGAAGAATCCACAGGAGTCCTCCCACTTCCTACGCCATGCCTGGCTCAGAGCAGAGCATCCCAGGACACTGGTACCCCCAAGACTCAGATCTTTTCTGTTCTCCACCACCCAGGACTCCTGGCTCCAGCTGCATCCACCCACAAAATGGTGGGCTGTCCTCAGGTTCTCCCTGAGCCCCAGCCCGCTCTCCCTTCCTTCCTGCACCTTTGCACCCCACCCCGAAGTCCCCCACCTCCTTCTTCTGCTCCATAGCATGATGCATGATCTTGGCTTCCTTTTTCTTCTCCAGCAGCCGGATGGATGGGGACTCCGACTGCTCCTCAGCATGGGGGAACTTCCTGCCCAAGACATGGGCAAGAGGGGCCTGTGGGTTCTGAGAGCGGAGACGGGCTGGGGCTGGGAGTAACGCGCAGAGACAGATACCCATGGGGAGGGAAAGGGGTCCTCTCCCCCACCCGAGTGAACGGAATGGTGGGTTGAGAAGTATGAGGCCATGCTGGCATTCAGGGAGTGCTGGGGCGGGGTGGGGACCAGGGTGGTGGGGTGATCCGGTGCCAGGGTAATTTGGGGCACTGGGTTATAGGAAAGCAGGGGACAGGTTGGAAGGCACAGAGGAGGGGGGCCAGCCAGGGCCTTGGACACTCACTGCAGCAGTTGCAGCAGCCGCTCCCCATACTGCAGCCGGAAGTACTCGGCCAGGTCTTCCTCTTCCATGATGCCCAGACTCATGGTGACAGTGACCTAGGGCCCAAGTAGCTGACTCTTCACAGTGAAACAGGGGTGGCAGAGCCCCAGGCGGCTCAGGGGTGACTGGGCTCTTGCCTGTCCCCTCCTCCTGCTTCCAGGGTCCCACAGAGGGCGGGTATGTGAGAGACTCAGCAGAAAGTGGCTGGAGGCTGAGGATCGGCAGCTCAGGACGATGTGTCGGGCTGGTGATGGGAGATCTGGTTACCTAGCAATCAGCTTCCGGTTCTGTGGACCACACATGGAACCCAGGCTTTGCCCTCTGACCCCTGTCCCCGCTGACCCCACTCTTGCTAGGGTTCCACTCCCTGCTCCTGCTCGTACCCCTCGGGAACTCTGAGAAGTTAGATCTGATTAGGTGCTGGCTGCCTTGGGGGCAGGGCCGGGCCGGCCGGGCGGAGGAGCCTGCGGCCTCCGGGAAGACAGGAGAGGTCTGAGGTTGGGGACCCAGGGCGGCCGAGACCACGTGCAGGGCACGTGCGCGAGGATGGGTAGGAAGCCCAGGACAAACCAGGCGGGCGCCCCCCGGGTGGCCCGGGAAGGACCCTCGGGGGCCCAGAGACTCAGGTTCGTGGAAAATTAAAATACGACGAAAGGTCAAAACACGGTAACAGAACCGTGCCACACCGAGGACGTTTCCTTGATGACGCTGCCTTCCTCGGTCCCGTCAGGGCACCTGCGTTTACTCAGGGCCTGAGGCCCAGCGTCTAAACGGAGGCCGTGCGGGGCACGGACGCCAAGGGTCGCCTGCACTCGGGCCCGGCCGCGACTCCGCGCCGCTCCGCGTCTGGGAACCGGGCCGGGCGGGGTGGGGGCGGGGTCCGGTCCGGGCGGGGTG